AAGCTATAGGTCTGACCTTTAATAAGATAAGAACTACGTAACTATCTATGATTCAAATGCTTATAAAAAACGGGGTGCTTTTTTAAAAAATAACAGTATTCTGATCCGATTCGGCTGACAGCCACGACTTTGAAAACAGAATTTTGTTCAAAATTTTCATTCCTGGAAAATAATAATTTATTTTCCATATCCACCTATTTAGCTCGCTATAATCACAAATTGTTCAAACCAGTCGTATTAAAATGAATTATAAAAACTAAAATCGAAAAATGCTGATGAAGTTACATACAGAATGAAAAATTCTTTTTAAAAAGCTTTAGAAAACCCTGACACCTGGTTTGGCTTGTAAGCGCTGTTTACACAACAATCTCGCCATTATGCTACATAGATTCTAATTGTTTCTTAAAAATACTTGACATCCGCATTCGCATCCGCATCCGCGGATGTTAGCGGTTAGATATTCGCATCCGCATTCGCATCCGCGGATGTCTAAAACTCCACATTCGCAACATCCCTAGTATGTACACATACTTCTTTAATTTCTTTAAGATATTTAATTTTTTAAATACTTTGTCTATAGTTGTTTTAGAAAATAAATTTTTTCCCTGTTTTAAATGTTAATTTAATTTAAAAAACTTTTTTTTTTTTACTTTTTAAGGTATTTTGAGTTCATATTAAAATCAAAAAAAAAAAAATTGCAATATACGCCCATATGTACATATTTAAATAAAAGTTATAAATTTTATAGAAATTTTGACTTGCCATTTTATTAAAAATTTAAAGGTTTTTAAATACATAGGTACATATTTAAAATTTATTTAGTTATTTTAATATTTAAAATTTCGTTTTCTTCTGCTACTTTTCAGTGTTAAAAGATCGAATTTAGTTTTCTTAAAAAATCTGTCAAAAGTTGTTTTATCCATTTTTAAATTTCTAATGCTCAAACTAAAAATACTCAACGAAATTTTAGAAAATTACATTTCGTTTGAAAATTTTTTACTTATAGTCAATTTCATAAAAGCAGAGAAAAAATTATTTTTCATTTAAATTACTTCCGTGAAACCGACAGTTAACAAAAAATGTTTTTTTTTTGTTAAAAATTTTTTACATTGTATTGTAAACTAAAAAATTACTGCCAATCACTTTTTAAATGATTTTTATTAGTGTTCGACCGAGCGTTCAGGTTCGGGTTCGGTTGCCGAAGTTCGGCCATGAAGTTCGGGTTCGGATTCGGTTCGGTAGGCGTAAAAGTTATAAAGAAAATTTTTACAAATTATAAAAATTTTATTTTTTTTTTTAATTGAAGGGCCGCTTTCGCGTTTCTGTAATTTGATTTTATTGCTTTGTTGTGGCAACTTTCTTTTTTTGCCTTTCTTTTAATTTCATTTCCTTCCCGAACTTTTAATGGCCGATACAACTTTGGACAAGTTAAATTTTCAAAATTGCTTTTTAACTCGATGTCAAGTGAAAAGAAATTTTATTTCCACGTTTTAGCAGCCAGAAAGAACTTTCTGTCCACATTTCGGAAATCAGTTTCAGAAATAAAAAATAATAAAAATTTTACTGCACTTGAAAGAGCGAATATCGATTTCGAAAATATATTTCAACTTGCCCGTGCTGCACTAGCAATTTTTATTTCTGCTCCAAGTGCTGTCTAGCTTATCGGATGTTGCCGTGTGAAACTGATCGCTAGTTTTTGAGAAGCAATAACGGATAATTTACATAAAATATTAGAAATGCTTTTAATCAATTATTTTGCGGTATATAATTGCTTATGTCATTTGTACTCTAAAAAAATTCGGATTCAATTCGGTTTCAGCTGAACTTCAAGACAAAAGCCGAGTATTCGGTTTCGGCAAAAAACTCGAGTTCGGTCGGACGCTAATTTCTATAATTTTAAATTATTTAACACTAAAAGGATTATCATTTAGAAAATCTTGCATCACATGGAATTTTTTCACGGCGTAATTGCGGTTTCGAAAATAATCAAATTACTTAAATGAGCTAGAAAAAAAAAATCGGGTCAAGCGTAGCTTATTCGACTTACATGACATTTAATTTAATTAAACGCCACTTTTTTTAACCTACCCAGCATAAAGCCAACGTTGAATATTTGCTCATCTCGCCCCCGGTCGACTTTCATGACTTGTAACATTCTAATACATTGGCAAATATTTGCACAACACCTCAGCACTTATTTATGTATGTATGAGTATGTAAATTGTAGTTGAACAACTTGTTGCCCTAACAACTCAGTTAAGAGCAGCAAATCCTCACGCCTCAACGGCTGCGCTGGCCAGCACGTTGAACTTAATACTAGGCTGAGACTTAGACGTATACTAATGCTGCCTACTGCTTGCTGTCTGATGTGCCGTTGGCTGCTACGCGCAACAAAATTCTTCAACAAACTTACCACCGACCAAATCCCAGGCATCATCAACGCTTAGAGGCACGCAACTGCGGCGCTACAGTAAAATTTCTATGCACACCGACACACACACACACACTTTTACATATGTATATATGTACATTGAAATACTAGTTTACGCTCGACATTACCTTACACCCCAATAAACTTCTACTTACTCTACTCTACTACTTTTTTTTTATCTGCTTGTCTATGCCTGCCTTTCTCTCATTTCTTTTTCTACTTCTTCTTTCCTGCACTGGCACAGTTACCGACTCTCACCGGTCACACATTTCTTCACCCGTCCATTAACCAACTATTATCCGGCTTAGCTGCCGGTGGCTGCTGCTGTTGCCTGATGCTTGCTACAATGTTACGTATACGCACTGTTGGCCACCATTTATGTGCACATATCTTGCTAGAACTTTTTTTTATAGCTCTGGCCACATTGTTGTTGTCACTAATACTCTCGTTATGCTCTGTTGTTGTTGCTTATCATACCGTTGAGGCGTAGCAAAAACTTTGTTGAGTAACTGATTG